CTGTCACCTGTCTGTCTGTCACCTGTCTGACTGTCACCTGTCTGACTGTCACCTGTCTGACTGTCACCTGTCTGACTGTCACCTGTCTGACTGTCACCTGTCTGTCTGTCACCTGTCTGACAGTCACCTGTCTGTCTGTGGGATGAACGCGCCGGCGCTAGGACCCAGCTGAACCGTGCCGCAGAGAGTGTGCACGAGCCCGCAGACCCGGTGGAGAGCGGGAGGAGGGGCGGGAGAGAGGGGGGAGCAGAGCGAACGGCGGCGGGTCCGGGAGGCTGAGGGACGGACGACACGGTAAATATAAACATCAACGTTTCAGCTCGTGAAGAGTCACCTCCTAAAGTCACCTCCGCGCGCTCCTTCCGTTTCCGGAAGATGTGAACGGAGGTGAACCGGGGGGCGACGGAAGTGTCTTTGTTAAAACTGAAGAAATAAAACATCAGAAGAACCGGTTAACGTTAACGGGTTCGTGTCGGCTCCCTGTCCGCCACCGTTTCACCGGACAGCCTCCCACCAGCTGCAGACACATCAGCGCGAGGACAGCGGGAGCGCGCATTCCGGGGTTAACGGGTGCATTCGGTGTGAAGCGCGGCCCCGCGTGTCCGTCCTGACCCACTACCGGCAGCCAGGTGTTCCCGCCTCGCGCACCGTCACACCGGGAGTACGGTGTTCATAACGGCTGTCCGGTAAAGGCCGCGTCAGGTCGCCCTGTGTTAATGTCATAAAACCGTTGAGTTAGCAACAAGCTAATGAACACTGCACTTCCGGTCCGGGAGACGCTTTCAAAACAAAAGCAGATTTTGATAAGTTGACATACTGAGATATTTGATTTAAAATACTTTTATTTCCTTTATTTATGACAGGGACAGTGCTTATTAATACTCCTATTAATAATTCATTAATAACTCATTAATTACTCATTAATAACTCATTAATAACATTAATAACTCATTAATAACATTAATAACTCATTAATAACATTAATAACTCATTAATAACTAAGTATGACAGAATCAACCAGTTTATTTTTCACCTGCAGTCCCAAAGTCACCCTAAAATATTTACTGTAAAACTAGAAACTAACAAATACACTTCAAAATACTTAAAATATTACAAGATAAAACACATAAAAACACACAAACCAACAACTGGAAAACATCAAACAAACAACATGAGACAAGTTGACAACTAGATGTAATCTGATTATAATCTAACGTTGACTCTGATTATCAATAAAACATTTCTTCAACTATTTTTAAATGTGTTATAATTTGAATGTCTAATACTGATATTTTTTAAACTCATGTAATCTGAGATTAACAGCAGTTTTTAATCCACAATAAGACAGTTTCTGTAAATTATCTTTAAAAATCTGAAGATGTTTGAGTTTTATTACAGACTAAATCTAAATATCTGAAAGTTTTCTGTCTTTAGAGACTAATGATGTCATGTTTTACAGCAGACTTTTAGTTTTATTATCCAATCAAGATTTAATTAGAAATGTGTTGTTTTTTTACAGGGAGATGTGAAATTCATTTCTGCAATTTGAACATGTTTATTAACTACTAAAGAGCAGTTTTATTCATATTTATTTTATATTGCATTTATTGCATCTGTACAAATGATTTTGTCTAAAGTTTATTGATTCTTAACATTATTTCTATGTATCTTCATGTTTTCTAAGTTTTTAAGTTACAAACAGAATTTCTGAAGGTATTTCTCTCTAAACAAAGAGACAATCAAATTTATATTTTGATGGAAAGATGTAAGAATGTGAGTTTGATTCCTCTAACATTTTAAAACAACAGAAGTCAACCAAAATTATTTTTTAGAATTCAGTCAAGCCAAAAGTTAAGACAATAAAATAAAAAGTAAAAACTAGTTTAAAAAACAACAGAAAACCTCTGTTTAAACTCAAACTTTGCTTGAATGAAACAAAATAAAATAAAGATGAGTTTCAAACAGGGATAAAAATTATCATGTGAAACTGACTCTTTTAATGAAAGTTATATTTTTGTGGTGTTTTAAATTCATACTGCAGATATTAAAGCTTAATTTAGGTTATTTTTCCTCAGATCTGGTGTTTTTTTTTATCATTGTTGTGTTTCACATTGTAGTTTAATTTAAATGTGACCAATAACAGACTGTAGTAGAATCAGTCCAGAGCTGAACACAACACATAAAATCACACAGTAGGCTTTGTTTGATGCTACATGTTAGCTTGTGTTGATCTGTTCACATGTTGTGTAACAACTTTTACTGAAAGTAAAGACAAAGATACAACTAACAGTCCCATCATGTATCCATACAGTCATTAGTCCTTTAATTAGCATCATATGTTGATGTAATCCTCAGTCATCCACAACATGACCAAGTAAAATAAAAATGATGCAACCAAACTTTTCAAAAATTCAATGAAAAAAGTTTTCATTTCATTAAAAATTACTTTACACAATAAAAAACAAAGAAAATACACAAATCAAAATAAAATGAAAGGCAGCAGAAGAAGAATAACTCTTATAATGTCTGCCTCTTTTATCCCAGGAATATATTCAAATGAAACATAATTTACAAAACAACACAAATAAAAATAAAAACTCATTTTACAGTGTGAGAAATGAAGTCATGCTTTTATTGTGAAGAGAAGAGATTTGCTTCAGTGTCACTGCTGTGTACCTTCACACACAGGCCTGGGCCTCAGACTCTGCTCCCATTGAAACACTGCCTCATGAAAACTGCAACACGTTCAATCAGTGTGTAGTAGGTTGTTGTCAGAGTGTAAGGTGTCTTTGTGTGACCTAAATACTGTGAGCTCTGAGCAGTTGTGTGGCTCGTACACAGGGGCTGGGCTGGATACTGTCTGCAGTTTTACTAAAGTTTCCTCCCCCTGGCCTTTTGTTGGCTGCTCTACAGGAGTGAAGCACGAGGACTGACAAACTGTACAACACACTGTGACACACTGAGCTGTGACACAAACCACTGCTGGGACAGGTTTCTGTTGGCAAACAGCATTTTTTATCTTTTTTAAATTCATGTCTTCAGCAGAAGCTGACAGCAGGAAATCAGCTGGTTTATTTTCAGCAACATCAGTTTGAACTAGTTTGACGTTAATGAAAAAAGTTTTGTCACRTTGTGTTTTCTGTTTGTTTCCAGAGGAGAGGGTGAGGACTGAGCGATAAAGACATCGTCCAGCCGACCGACAGCTTGAATGAAGCTACGCCCGGTGTTTCTGGGGGCTCTTCCCATGTTTCCAGCTGCATAGGGTCTTTTTATTTTTAGAACGGTGGTTTTTCACAGAGACACTTCCTGCCATGCCGTCCAACAGTCCTGCTTCCACCGAGCCGCCTCAGATGCTGGAGAATGACACAGCTAATGATCTGGTGAGACACACATGTTGTTATTATGTCAACACAACAAGGAGTTCTGTGTCCTTAAACTACACACCTGTTGTTCTTTCATTGGTTTGGCTCCACTGGTTTAAWTACTACATTAAAAAAATAATCCTGCACAGAGTACCTTCAGAAGGTCAAAACTGGACTAAAGTCAGAGTCAAAAACAGTCACCAAGTCCACCGCTAACAAACACTACATGAATTCTACCTGGTATTTCCTGCATAGAAACAACATTTTAACACGTCCTCCTATAAACACAGAACAGTACTACATGTATGACTGACTAAATGTGTATAAATAATGCAGGAATACTAGTAAAAGTAAAAGAGTTTTACTCACTGTTGAGTTGTGGTGACTAGCTGCATCTAGAGTTCTGACTTGCTGTTGCTCCCACTTTCTGACAGGGAATTCCCACTGGAGTTCCAGTTTAAATTTGCAACTTCTATGTGGGAAACTCCCACTTCCCAGTACAACTGGACTGCAGCAGAAGTAGCTGGTAAAAATGCAGCTAAATAGAGATTTGACATTGCAGATATTGTAACTGCACCTTGAGCTGGGACTCTGTCAGTTTGTGGGTAAAATAACCAACACACATTATGGGACATGTAGTTTATGGTGGTGAGGTGTTCTGGACACGTCYCACTGGGAGGAGACCCAGAGGAAGACCCAGGACACGCTGGAGGGACTATGTTTCTCAGCTGGTCTGGGAACACCTTGGGATTCCCCCAGAGGAGCTGGAAGAAGTGTCTGGAGAGAGGGAGGTCTGGGTCTCTGCTGAGGCTGCTGCCCCCGAGACCTGACCCTGGATAAGAGGAAGATGATGGATGGATGGATGGATGGTGGAAGATGGATAGATGGATGGATGGATGGATGATGGATGGATGGATGGTGGAAGATGGATGGATGGATGATGGATGATTGATTGATTGATTGATTGATTGAGACACATGACCTACAGAATCCACCTGTTAAACATGTATAATCTTTATCACACTTGTTGTTTTAATTATATATTTATGTGAACAGAAATAGAACCACTGCTCTTATTTCAGTGTTTCCTGTGTTTCCTCTGCAGCTGTCAGTAGCTAAGCTAAGCTAAGCTAAGCTAAGCTAACCACTGCTCATCCTCATGGTTAGTGTTTGTGTTAGTGTGAACACACAGACCTGATGAGTGTGTAATGATTAAACTCATGGTTATTTATTTGTTCACACCTGACTGTTCTACGTTCCACATGCTTAGACACATGGAGACATGAGAGAACCTTTACAAACACAAGGTTAACACACACACACACACACTAACTTGTTTTTATATCCTTGTGGGGCCCGTCCATTAGGTTTCAGGTTACCTACCTGACCCTAAACTAACCTCACAGGTACCTACCTGACCCTAAACTAACCTCACAGGTACCTACCTGACCCTAAACTAACCTCACAATACTGAGGAGAAAAACAATCATTTCCTCATGTTTGAAATGGTTTCAGGTGTTTAATCAGGCTTTTTAAAACCTAAAATAAGTAGACACTTGTACTGATTTGTTTGATGATACAATGTTTCCTAATATCACAAAGTCTGATGATACAATTTAGATTCAGTTCCATTCATGTCTGCAATCAATATGTGATAAAAGATCATATGATCAATGTTTTCATTCTGCCTTGATGTAATTGAATCATTTAATTGATATATTGATATATTATTACAGCCCTGCTAATAAATATTTACAGATGTACAGTATTGTTGGGCAATATTGGCAAAAAAAATTAATCATGATTAATTGTGGTATTTAGGTGATAATGATTAATTTGATGATTAATTCCCAGGAGTCTCTGGACACCCTTATGTCACATGACCAATTTAGTGGGAAAGATTTACCCTGTGTAAAAATCTGTTCCAATTTGTTATAATTACAGACTTCAGGCTGTACATCTCATTTTAAATTGTGTTGATACTTGATAGATAAATAAATTATGGGTTCATWTCTTTTAATATTTGTAATATTTGAAGCAAAGAGGAGCACCAAGCAGTTAGTCTGCCTGCTGGCATTAATCATATTATCAAGTGCCAAATAATAATCGATTAATGTTTTTCTGCACATGGTACGATAATACCCAACCCTAATGTACAGACATGTTTTAACAAAATGTTTGTGTCAACATCTTAATTAATTTTACAGATTTTAAGCTAACATTTAGTGTAAAAGTATCTGACAGTAATTCACAACAAATACTAATAGATCAGATAAGATATCAGAAAGTTATTTTATGAGTTAAATGGTCTCTTGGTCAATTCAATAAAAAACACTCCTTTTTTCCTAACATGATTATTTTTTTATTTTTATTATTTATTTTTATGTTCAGGTGTACATCTCAGTTTGGATCATGCAGGTAAAAACTCAAAGACATGATGTGTTTTAAAGTCTGGATTAAATCTGGAGTTAATCTGGTTTAATGAGTGTTAGATTTGAGTAAAATATACTGCAGTTTATTTATGTGTACAAATATAAAAAGCGTAGGTAAAGCAAACACAAAGGGGTAATGTAAAACCCATGGACAAACTGTCTGCTGCTGATGGCATCCTCTGGTCTGCAGTCTGGTTGCTTAGCAACAGCCTAAAATAACCTGCTGCAGACAGAAATAGAACAAAGATTTACAGACGTGTTTCTGTGTTCATGTCAGTTTATAGTGTGGTTCAGGTGTTTGGACTATTTTCTACTATTGACCACATATTCAGAACTTAGTCAGAACTTTATTGGTTTATTGCTAAAATAGGCTTTTTATTTTTAAATTTTAATTTATTTTAATTTAATTTTTTTCTGACATCTGGTCTGCACTCCAGGCAGACAGGGATAAAGACTGGACTTGTTCCAGCTGGATGCTGAGCTGATCATCTGTAAAGTGACGTCATTGTTTAGTCAGCACCGCATCACAGCTGGAGACGGTTGCTAAGCAACTTCTGCACCGTAGCAACTAACCATCGTCTCTGTTGGGGTCTGAAGAGAACGAATAATAACCTCCATCAGCAACTTGATGGTATTTCATTAAAGTGATCCATGATTAGTTGTAACATTAGACTTTATTTGATAAACATTTATTTTAACTGTAAAATAAAGACTGTAAAAATACTGTAGGCTGTTTAGTTTTTATCATTTTTAAACTAAATGTTTAAACTGAAAGTTTATAAATATATTACACAGACGGAGCCATTTTATTTGCACACAAAGCATTCTGGGTAAATGATGACGTGGATAGGTCCTCGGTGCGAGGCTGCTAGCGAGCTATATCCACCCTGAAGGTTAATCTTGGACAATATCTGATGATCGACTCTTTTAAATGAAACCAGAGAGCGTTGACAGAGAGGAGAAGGTAGAAATGACTCAGCCTGGAACTGAAAATATGGATGGAGGACAACAGGTTAGCTTGTTTGTCGTGCTAGCGCTGAGCTAATAGTGTTAGCGCTAGCGCAAAGGCTAACAGGCTAATCTGAGGTTGTTCTTCCATGAAGCAGCTCTGTTGTCCTCCATCCATATTTTCAGTTCCAGGCTGAGTCATTTCTACCTTCTCCTCTCTGTCAACGCTCTCTGGTTTCATTTAAAAGAGTCGATCATCAGATATTGTCCAAGATTAACCTTCAGGGTGGATATAGCTCGCTAGCAGCCTCGCACCGAGGACCTATCCACGTCATTATTTACCCAGAATGCTTTGTGTGGAAATAAAATGGCTCCGTCCGTGTTAAAATATATTTTTTTAAAAATTACAAAACTAAACATCCTACAGTATTTTTACAGTCTTTATTTTACAGTTAAAATAAATGTTTATCAKATAAAGTCTAATGTTACAACTAATCAKGGATCACTTTAATGAAATATTTGTGAAATACTACTTCAGAGTGCAACAKGATACATGCTGAATATTTAATTAAGCTGTTTTTTCCAGTTGGTTGTAGGATTTTTATTGAGGTATTTAACAATATTTCTCATATCTTTAGATTAAAATATACACACAAAATACAACCACATCCAAAGGGTCTTTAATCTGCCTGACAAGTACAAAAACACAAACCTAGAATAAATTAGACTCAGTAAAGATCATTTTTATTGGTTGTTGATGCTGTTTTAATCTGAGGCTGTGTTTATTTTGAACATTTGTATAACATCTGATGAACCAGTGRATGTACTCCAACTGCTTAACTTAAACCTGCCACAACAAGAACTGCTGTATCAGTCGTTATTGAGCAAATTAGGTTTTGACTAAAAACCCCTGTAATAAAAACCCACAGCCAAACTCATCCTGGCCAAAATAACTACAGTCAGTCAGTGCACATGTATTCACCTGCAGGATGATGTCTTATTAAAGTCTCCACTGTTTGTTTAGGATGTAGCAGGTGCTACAACCAGGTGCTGCTTGTTTTATTTGGCTCGGTCACACAGCTCCCACCGGAGCTCCTCGGCCAGTCAAAGTGTCCAGAGCTGATGTAAGAATAAAACATCTGAGTCTGACTGACAAGACTGTTGTTTGGACTCAGAACAACTTCCAACAGCGGACAAAGGGGACTGGGTAAGTCCATTAATGTTGTTGGTCCGTGAGGGTTCAGTACCCAGTGAGGGAGCGAGCTGGGTTTGGAAAACCAGGGAGTGGTCCGAGGTCAGAGCTGGGAAGTCAGAGATCCAGTAACAAATCCAAATCGTAATCCAAAAGGCGAGGTCCAAGGGGAAAAAACGGGGTCTTAATCCAAGGGTCAGAATCATAAACAGTACCAGGTAGGGATCAGGCGAAAAGGGGAAGTCAAGAGGCAGGCACAGGGTCATGGACAGAAGATCAGGCTGGGGCTGTGACAAAACACTAGACATCTACTTGGTAAAACCGTTCCATAATCAGGCAATGGCAGGGTGGAGGCATGGAGCTTAAATAGGAGGGAGAACAGGTGAGGCAGGTGAGGCTGATTGCTGTGACACTGAATGAGGAGGCGTGGCATTAACAGGAGAGCTGAGTGTGAGTGACAGGAGAGCAGATGGAACAGCCAAAACATGACACTAACTGGATTTAAGTTTGGGGTAAAGGTTTACATTTACACTATGCTTACTGCTGTATGAAGGTCAGCAGTTAAAGGAAGGTTTTGTTTAATCAGGTGATGAAAACAAAGGTGGACAATAATGGTTTGGTCTGTGTTTGTGTGTCTGTGACCAAAATATGCCATGAACCACCGAMTGTATGTCTAAAACTTGTCACCATTTGGAGTCAACCTGATTCAAGATGGCTGCCAAAAATAGGGACGCTAACCTGTTGTTATTATTAAAATTTTTTGGTTTAATTTAAAGGCATCATAAATTGGCCAATCTAAACCAGAGTTATAGTACTAGCTAATGATTCTTCCAATTTAACCTTTTTAAAATAGAAGCATTTCTTTGATTGAGTATGTATTTTTATAAATACTGTTTGAAGTTAGTCAAACAACTCATAGCAAATACTTTATCATATTTTATGCGCAGTGAATTTTGACATTTGTTATTTAAATATTGTTAAATGTTATTTATTTGTTTCAAGGATAACCCCTTGAGATGTAGCATCTGATTTTCAAGGAGGTCCTTACAATAAATAAAATAAGCAACAAAAATAAAAATCATTATAATTAAATCATTATAAAAATTATTTCATTTCTTTTTGATGCTCTTAGTTTGAARTTTAGCTGCTAAAGATGCTACATGCTACATAGTGTGCCTGACACACAGCTTGTAAGAGGGGACAGTTTTTATTCAATTTAGGATAAATGGCTTAAAAATAGATGTTTTACACGTTTTTGTGGACTTAATATTAGCAGAAGGTAATTTAGCTGAAGCTAACTGGTTTGCTAAAGTTAGCAATAAAGCTAATCCTCTAAATAAGAAGCTAGTTCAGCTGTTAGCACATTAGCAGAACTGTGACACCACTGTAAATTAAAGCAGAAAATGATCAAATGTTAAGCCTAAACACAAAATGTAACATGTCAGCTTTATTAAACACAACTATAGTTAAATACTTTTAACATGTTGTTCCCATTTAGAACTGCAGAAGTGCTTTAATTTAATGAAATCTAAGCTCAGATTGTGTTTAAAATTACCTGTTTTTTTGTTTTTGTTAGTAAAGAAAGCAAAGTTGTAACGACAGTGAGACGGCAAAGCTTTTGTAGTCTCCGTTTGTTCGTTCATTCGTTGGTTGGTTGATTGGTTGGTTGGTTGGTTTGTTGGTTGGTTCATTGGTTCGTTGGTTGGTTCGTTGGTTCTTTCGTTAGTTCGTTGGTTCGTTCATCGGATCGTTCGTTGGTTGGTTCGTTGGATCGTTCGTTGGTTGGTTCGTTGGTTGGTTCGTTGGTTGGTTCGTTGATTCATTGGTTCGTTCGTTGGTTCGTTGGTTTTTTTGTTGGTTCGTTGGTTCATTGGTTCGTTCGTTGGTTCGTTCGTTGGTTCGTTCGTTGGTTCGTTCGTTGGTTCGTTCGTTGGTTCGTTCGTTGGTTCGTTGGTTGGTTGGTTGGTTGGTTCGTTGATTGGTTCGTTGGTTGGTTCGTTGGTTGGTTCGTTGGTTCATTGGTTGGTTCGTTGGTTGGGTCGTTGGTTCGTTGGTTCACGACCCTGGAGTGTTTTTTGACTGTAAAGTCTTGAGCACTCGCTGCTTTAATGTGGTCTCAGTAATGACAGCAGATATAAATTGTTAAAGTCAGTGTTTGATGTGGTCTCTGTGTGTGTCCACGCAGAGTGAGGACGGAGCAGATCAGGACAGTCCAGAGGAGGGGACGCCAGCCAGTCCCAGAACCAAGCGAAGAGTTGGTCGCCCCAGCAGGAAAAGCAAACAGCAGCTTCCTGTGAGTACACAAATAAGCACACAAATAAAATTAACATTTTCTATGTTAACTACAGCAAAGTAACTATCTATTCATCTTTTTAAATGTTTTCTTTCTAATGTGCAAAGATCTTAAATGTGGGTGAACTAATCCAATGCTACTTTGCTTTTACACCTGCAAGCTGCTACATCTTAATCACAATCACTTCACTTTTTTTTCTTTATGCACAAAAATCTAGACTCACACTTTCAGCATTAGTTAACTGACACGTGTGTGTGTGTGTGTGTGTGTTTGACAAATGATTAGATGGAAACTTTGTCTGCTTAAAGACTATTGTGTAGGTTGCTTTTAGTTGTTTTGGTTTTTATTTTATGTACCATCATTTTATCTAAGAACAGGGTTTCCCCTGTGAATCTCCTGCTTGCAGTCAGTTTGTAAAGTCTTTCTCTCCATGTGGTGATAACCCCATGGCCTCAACATYATCAGTCATCAGTGTAGCTCCGTCCCCCACATTTTCCATTTGCTTCTTAAAGTCACAGTGAAACTAGAGTTAAAAGCTTCTTCTTTATGTTTCATGTGATGAATTTTCACTGGAAGTTAATTATGGTTTTGAGTGGACTATTTAAAAGAAGGCATGAGTTTAGAAATACTGAGATAAGAAGGAGTGAAATCCAGAGTCCAAACAAAATATTTTGAAATATAAACAAAATTTTGTCCGTTAAGTTTCAAACACACACCTCCTACTAAGTATCTGTTCGCTATAAGTGGTCCTGCTTTGTACATGAATCATCATCAACATAGAAATAAATCATTTCCTGTTCTCAAGAGAAATTTTATGTTTTTTATGATTTGTTGTACCACAAAATAATCTGCTAAACTCATTAAGTTTATTTCTGCAAAAAGAACATACAGTGACAACAGGAAATCACAGGTGGTAAACCTAAGAATAAATAAACAAGATTAAAATATGTAAAGTTTCTGATTCAYGTAATAATTTGTATTTTTTAACACAAAAAAACAAAACAAAACTCAGAGATGAGATATTTATAAGAACAAAGTGAAAGTCCTGTTAGCAAACACAAAAACCCTTGACTTGTGTACAACATTGGAAAGTATCTCACTGGGCTGCAACTGTTGGTGACTGTTGACAAGATGGAAACTGTTGGTGACTGTAGGAGGATGTTGGTGACTGTTGGTGACTGTAGGAGGATGTTGGTGACTGTTGGTGACTGTAGGAG